ACTGTACTTGTAGCTAGTTTTACACTCTGCATTGAGTTTCTCCAATTCGCTGGAACTTAATTTACGTGCCCCGTACACCGTTCCCGTCCAGGTCGACTCGGAGAACCCATTAGGGTCGCTGGTGACGCGATACACCGGTATCAAGGACAGTCCGATTTCAGGGGCCAAGCCTGCTTTCCAAAATTTCTCCAACCATCGATGCGTGATACCACTCCATTGCCTGTTAGCGCATTTACAATTAGACACAAAGCGAATATATTGCGCTTGAATATATTACGCTTCCCACCTATTTTTTTTTTTTTTTTAACAAAACATCGACAAAATGTAAGAAAAAACTAATTTCATTGATTTTAAATTAAATTCAAGTTCTCAACGTGATTTTTTCACTGTGGTTTAAAAATTTATTTAATGAAAAAATTAACGTTTACTTTAGTAGAAAGTGATTTTTGGCCCACCCTATATATGTAAAACTCGAAACGTGCATCGAGTCGTGCTTCGATTCCTTCTCTTCGATATTGCTCGTTGCAAGTACTTACGTATAGTACTTTCAGCTTTTTCAGAAAACCACTTCGGAATGCTAGATACTCACAGTATTTTGTCGCAGGGAGTGTTTCCGAGGAGATAAGGGGACCACAGACCGGCGCTTCCATCGCCAGTAGTTGCTGGCGAAAATTCATCCGAAATTACGTGCACCTCGAATTGTGGAAAATTGGTTTTCACCGCCAATGCACTCGTCATGCCGATCACACCGGCGCCCACTACCGTCACACGCATATTTCGGCGATACAACCCAACTACGTGTTGCGGATTTCCGCGGGAAATCTTGAAACGCAATTACGCGAGAGCTCCGTTCCGGCAGCGGCGTTTATCGAAAATGACAGTACGACTTCGTTATTGGAACGATAACCCTATCGACGTTAAAGTTATCGTACTCGTCACTGCTCTCGATTTTTTAAATCGATTATCAAGCGTGGATAAATGACAAAACAAATCAATCGACTGGCTATCAATTTGATTAATTCAAGTTTAGTGCAAGTTTCTTCGGACAATGCGAATGTGAAATAACGATAGCTGACTGCTGATCGATCGATTGAAATCGATTAACTGATTGATTTCTTTCGGATCGAAGATCGCAGTGAACTTACGATACCACATATTGCTAGCATAATGCCTCTGTATTGCCCGGCAATATTATGCCAGAATATGGGAATCGCGAAAGTCAGCGGTGAGAATCAGATTCTGAGAAACTGGAGCAAGTCGATGACAATTACCAAAGTGTCCAAGTCCAAGCGATGCTCGTTTCGCGGCGCACCAACGATAAACGGAGCATAATACTTTAAATTTCCCGTCTCAAAGGTCTTATACTCTGCTTACCGATAGTACGACACACGATTTCCTTTTCCTTATTTCTTTCCTTATTTTTTTTTTTTCTTTTTTTTCACAGATGCAACATTTCCTTCGAGGTGATCCTCGAGGAAGGATCGCGAAGGGCTGATCGAACGTAAAACGAAATTTTTTTGAAGCGGTCGTTTTAACGCGCGATCTATCGACTGAAGCTTGCACACAGTGTACATATTTACCTTCCACAGGACGGCTGACCGAGGTGCTCGATGACAGTTCGCGATACTGTGGTATTTGTTTACAACACATACGAATATGCTAGACATAACAGAGCCCGGAAATGCGATAAAGGGTAAACGTCAGGACAGAACTCTGTGTTCCTCGTTACTTTACTCGCATATTTTTAGTTTAATAGTACAATTAGGGAGATGAAAATCAAGTCGAAGAAAAATCTCTTCCCCAAGTGACTGGTGTCTTGTGTCTTTTTCAATGTGTCCTCCATCAAGTTACATCGTCAGAGATTGACGAAACACGCGCAGATAAAATTTCAACTTAACAGTTGAACTATAATAAATATCGAGTTGCGAAATCGATCGCGATCCAAAGATACACGCGTGATTGTGAACGTTGCCGGTCCCAGTGCAAATGCGACGATTACAAGAGAGACAACGTGCTCGATTGAACGTGCCGAACTATTAGAATACGTATTTTATTGCGAAACACCTGACTCGTTCCTTGAGATCGTCGCCAGGGTGGCCAAGGATCTTTCTCGACTGCTTTCGCGATGCGTTCGATGAGTCTCGGATAACGGACACCTAAGCGTCTCTGTTATCCGAGAAGATTATCGACACAGTGCATTGATATTACATCGTATTCTACATGCCAATACTCGCTCGAAGCTTAAAAATAACCGTGTAATTTGTCCATTGATTTGATCTTTGTGATTAAAATAAAAAAGGAATGAGAAATTACAACGCGCCGATAAGTAAAAAATGATTTATTTAAAAGCAATTTAAAAGCGTATTATCGTGAAATTATTTGAGAAATTAATACGTCTTGTTCGTTTAAACGATACGACGAAATGGAATGTTTGACAGAAAGAGGAGACGTTGATATATTGTAATTCACATTATATTCAAAACTTGTTAACTTTTATAATCGTATGTATGAAATGTTCCATTAAAACGAAGCGTGTCTATTTTTCATAAATAAGCAGGTTACATGATAATTCTGCTATTCCAAATTATAAATAAATCCGTGAAAATCATACGCATCACGCATCTACTTATGCTCGCATGTAAAATATACATTTCTTCACACTCGTGTACAGAGTTTTATAATATACAATCTATTCGAATGAGTAATATCATGGTAAAAAGATGTCATGAAAAAAGTTTCCGAAACTCAACATGATTTAAATTTTATTTCAAATAAACTGATTTATCGAAGTAAATCGTGCAAGTTTCAATTTTTTAAAAAATTTTACTCATCTCTCGCAAATTTAATTTGAAAAATGAAACAGAAATCGTTAGTTTCTACAATTTAGCGACAACAAATTAGATTTATGCCTATATGTAACAACGTCAAACATTTTATAAATTATTGTGAATTAGCATATAGAAATATACAACACTGGTGTTTCCTCTTTGTATATAAATTTCTCGGAAAATAATGTCAAATCTTTCGTCGTCTCTATTACAGTAATAATATAAAAACATAGAATATAAAATTTTTTAAAAAATGTACACAACTATACAAAATTGATTTATGTTGGACGATTTTCATAATATCTTATTAAACCTTACACGTTACAATCTATTTACTTGCTAATCAATATTATTTTTATGGATAGAATAATATATTAGTAGTTAGATTGATAACAATTTTGATTAAAATAAAAATAGATTTTAAAAGGCGAACTATAATATCTTAAATTTGATATATTTGCATATATAATAATAAAAAAATTTTAATATTTTATAAATTCAAAAAACGAAAGTTCTTTAAAAACTGAATATGCTATATGCTGCTTTAAAACTGGTACAAGAATCTTTTCTATAGACAAAATATTTATCACAGATAGAGTTATCAGTTAAAATCGCAATAAAATAATTAGATGAGATTTGACATCTTTGTTTGATTTAATCGATATTACGTATTGCTAAATAATCTCTTGACAATATCAAATTAATTATTGTTAGAAGTAAGAAGTATAAAGGAGATCACGCAATAATTTTTATTGCGATTTTTTGCCATGTTTTAAATATAAAATTTCTAAATAATTTATACCTGATATAAACTTATTATAATCAAAGATTATATAAAGATTATATAAATCAATTTGTGTGATGTATTTTAACTTAATCATAAGATTATTAGATATTCTGCTACCTCATCATTTGTCTAAATTTATCCAATTCAAAGATACTTTCTGATAATCTGTAAAATTAAAATATAATTATATTTTCTGATAATAATTTCCTTTATTATGTACTCTACCTTAAAAATTATGTTTAAATTTAAAAAGCAATTAGTCTGCTTACCTTCCAAAAGCATTTATCAGTGCAACAATTTCACTTCTTTCTAAAAAGAATTTCTTCCTATTGAAGTTATGTAATGTTGATTCCCATTTATCGAATTTTCCTGAGAATAGAATTTTCAGTGCTGTACCCAAACCATGTGTTTGAAGTTTCCCCCAAAGTTTACATTTATCGCATCCCACGCAATCCATAATACGAGATATATTTCTAAAATGCTGTCTAAATTGTTCTTTCAATAACTGAGCTTCAACTCCACCAGTAAACATAACGCTTTCATTAAAATGATCAGAAAACGACCTAAAATACATCCGTCTTGAGTCTTTGAGGCATCAGATTCGTCAGTTATACGTTGATGAAATTAATTAATTAAAAATGAAACTTACTTAATAACATTTAAAATATCATTTATCGCCAAACGGGTATCTTTATCTTGTATTTTATTACCAGTATAATATTCTTCTCTTTCTAAATATGGCGCAGCTTTTTCCAAAGCTCTTAATTCAAGCAGATAAGTAAAATATAAATTTTTTAACCAATTTGGACCTTCACCTCCTGTTTCCTCTGGTGAAAATCTCATTTGAAACTCTTGTAAATTAGGGCCCCATTGACCACCGGGTATTATCTCTAAATTATCTTTCTGTGATAACAAATATTTTGAACATAAATGAATGTTAATACTAGCATGAAGACCTGATATAACACGATAAAACACTCTTTTCTCCAAGCACATGCCTGCAAGTAATGATATATTACAATGAAATCAATGTACAGATCAAAATATATTATTGTCGGATTAAAATCATTTACCATTTATTTTTGAAGATTGAATAAAATTATGTGGCGAATTTTCAGGTCTGAAATCAAATAGATATATAAAATGCAAAAATTTTTTATATCCATTTCATTCTGTATCGTTAACAAAAATTTTTACCTAAAACAATTTTCCTTATAGATACTGCGCCATATCCTATGTGCGCTAGGTCCTTTATAACCTGTGTATCTTTCAGGATTTAGCAAAAGATCCACATATTCTCCAGGGCTAGACTCTTTCACGCAAAAATTATCTTGAGCATCATCATATTGTTGCCATAACTCAAAATCTTTATAGTTTTCTGAACTGAACAAAATATATCAAAATAAATTTTAAATACATACACTAGGTTCACAAATGATTCTATTTATCCACGTGTGAAGAAATATTTTTACTTACCTAATTGTTGTGTTGAGATAACCAAGTTCTCTATTGTGATCTTTAGCACTATGTAAACAATCGTTATATTGCATTGATGCTTTATATTTATCTACGGGACTTTCATTAAAATGAATGTTCCTTAATGTGTCCCCTTTTAAACCATCTGGAATGTCTTCCTACAATTATAAAAATATCAGCATGTGCAAATTTCAACAATTTGTATAAAATAAAGTTTGCATATTGATTGAACATATTGAGTCACTTACTTCTTGACAAGGTTGCACATGGCAATATCTTATAGCACATTTGCTATCATCGGTCCAAAAGGGGCATTCTTGTTTTAAGTTTACTTTATAAAAACGAAAATAATCCCTGACTAAAAGACTCTGAAGTCTTGGATAAATTTTCATGTTATTAAAGTAATCCACTGTATCTACACTGCAGCTGCAGTCATCGATTGATCCCTTCAACTAAATTTTTTAAAATTTAATGCAATTTAATCACTTAAGATAACCATATAGTAAATAACTATATATATATATATATATATA